AATTTAGTCCAATTTAATTTTGTTCTGTCAACTTCTGCATCTGTCAGAGACAGACAAGCCAGCTGAAGTAGAACAAAGAACTCCTAAAATACATCTTCTACATCTGCTTTAAGCACTCAGAAAATGACTGTTCAAATATAATTGAGTGCTTTAGACACACCGAGACATAAAGCAGAGACAAGATGTTAGGAAAGTAAAGCGCTAAACTGAGTCTTCTTTCCATGTATGAAATGCTAATTTAAAGGATTAGTTCACCCAAAAATTAAAATTGTGTCATCATTTACTCACCCTCATGTCATTCCAAACCCGTATACGTTTCTTTCAAAAGAAGATATTTTGAAGAACCAAACAGTTGTTGGTCCCCAATGACTTCCATAGGGAAATAAATACTATGTAAGGCAATGGACTCATCAATTGTTTGATTACCAGCACTCTTTTAAGCATTCATTCAATTAGAGGAGCCATGACTGGTTTCCCACACATAATTTTCATTAACTGGTACATATACCAACCCTAGTAAAAAAGTAATAGATTTAAAATGCATTTATTTTATACTAAGTGTAGATCAAGTCTATTAACATATTTACTGACATATCGCTCGAGACTTGCTGATATGAGAATTGTAATTAAACTTTATTTGGAGTACTACTTATGCACAATGCACATTTCTTAATATTAAGCCTAAAATATGTTTTAATGTCACTAATGATGAGGATTGTATGATCTTTAAAGATTTTGCATATAAAGTGTACCTAAAGTATACTTGCAATAGTTCCACTTTAGCACAGTAAAATATACTTAAGTATATCTTTATTTGGACTTCAACACTACTTCAGCACAATTAAAGTGCGTTAAGTACAAAATCAGTTGAGCAGACTTTAAATACACCAGTTTAGTATACTAAATGTACAAATGCAGGGTCTTTTTTTATTAAGAACATAATATGTAAATGTATTGTAGTATACTTAGCATGAAATAAATGTATTTTAAACATTTTTGTATATTTATTTTCACTAGGGAATATATCAATAAGTAGTACTACTACTTATACTACAACATTTTACTGAAATATTTAAAAGTTTGTTAAGAAATCTTTTGCTCACCAAGGCTACTATACATTTATTTAACAGTAACAACTTGACAGTTTTCTATTTTAATGTATTTTAAAATGCAATTTATTCCTCTGATGGCAAAGCTGCCAGTCTTTAGTGCCATTTTTACTACCGAAGTTCAAACTATATTTAACTTTTAAAACATTTGTCTTAACACTCATACTTAACAGCTTTCCATTTGGACCAAATGCAACAATAAATCAACACTAAATCTGAAAGCATGCATAACTGTCACTTGTGTCTCATAACAGGCATCTGTATTGAATTGCATATGATCAGCTGGTTTAATTCCACACATTGATAAACAACACATTCATATCACAAAAGCAAGTAGGCCGGATTTTACAGCTGTCCTCAAAACAAATGACCTTGGACAGCCTGGATGATTCCATCAGTGTTACAGTTTTTACGGCCCATATCCCTCAGGGCTTCTTTGAGAAGCAAAGTAATTAAGGATCAGTAATTAACAGCATCAGACTAACAGGCCTGATCCCCCCCTGCAGGACCTAGGGGACAGCAGACGAGGGCCAGATAGGACATGGGTGACACAACTGTCCAGTTATGATGACCCTCTGTGAACACTAGTTGGTTTAGTAATAGCAGACTCCCTCTCCCGTTACCCCTTTATCCAGTAGTTACAGAGTTGAAGTGCAGTTGACCAGTGAAAGACACTAATGACTTTTAATAATGCAATAGAAAAAAGCGGCCAGAGTCAGCACTCACAGGATAATGATGCAGATCAGTCAGTGGTTTGTGGACCAGTGACCATCTCTAATGACACTGTGGTGGTTCAGAACTTACACTATCAAATGAAAATATTAGCATAAAGGATGGCATCGCTGATATGAACTGTTACAAACTGACCCTTTAATTCCTGTGTCATTTCCAACAAATGTCCAGTCATTCGTGATTACTGGATGAAGGTTTTTACAAAATCCTTTTGATTGAGAAGGGTTCATTAATGAATCATTTAGACCAGTTTGTGAACCAGTTTGACAAATTAATTGAAAAGAACTGACTCAAAAGGGCAACTTGCTCACAAATGGTACATCGTTGCATCATTGCGAAGCAAGTTTTATACTAAACAAGAGCAAGAGACTATCTGGCAGATATATCTTTATCTCTAAAAATATTTTATAGCAGAGTGTGAAAAATAGGAAAATTGATAATTTACTCAAAATAATTTCAATAACTTTACCATGATCAAAGACTTATTCCAGAATACTTTTCCCTGATACTTTTTGGGTGACCGTGGGAAGACTGGACTAGTCATTATCAGGGTTCTCAAAGGGGTCTTTTCATGAAGAATCAAATTTCCCCATATCTTTAGAGATATGGGTTAATTGCATGTGCTGCAACTTTCAGAACTCCCTCAAAAAAAAAGAGCCAATTTATTAAAATTAAACTTTTACAATTGTTTGGTTTAAAATTCTTGAACCTCTTACTTTACCAATACTGAAAATAATGTCTGACAGGCTACACTTATACATCAATGATGTGGGTGTTCAGAAATGTGGCCTCACCCAGCCATGGTGGGGCAATAAGGAGAGAATAGGATATATAATAAATATATACACACTATTATTCTTAAACGCTAGAAGAACTAATGGGAGTTTAAAGTGTAGAAAGTTCACCAAACCTTGTACTGTGTAGCTTTAATTTACAAACTTTATAAAGGGATTGGTGTATTTCCTAGTAAACATTGACTGTTTCATTGAACTCTCAAATTCCATAAGGAAAACGTAACGCATGACATCACATTTGAACAACAGCCTATGAGGGATCAATCTGAAGTATTTTCATTCTGTAATTTACCAAAAATCATCTGGCTCTAAATGTTGCAAGTTTTTATTCTCAAGTGATGTTGTAGTCTGGAAGCAAAAGGGACTAATAAAAGATACTCTTTGAGCCTCTTAACTCTCCACAAGCAATCCACCATGACTGCTGATGTACTGCTGAAATGATGCCAACAAAAACCTCCGACCTCTGCTGAAGCTGAATACCTTATATACGTAACCATTAATTTAAGATTTGCACTGACACCCCAAATGAACAAATGAAGAGAAGACCTCCCCTGTAGTATAAAAAAAACGTTTCACGCTTCATTTCACTGATTCTCCATGACTAGAGGTTATGGCACTATAATAACTACTTGATGGGCGACAGCAAGATGTTAGATTAAAATACTGCACTGTGTAAGCAAAAAAGCAGCAAAAAGATCAGTTTCTTGAGAAATTACCCTTAAGCTCGGCCCCGATTAAAAACATAGTGGTAGATTTACTATCTGACAATCTTGTTTCATGCTTAGTTTGTCTAATTAGACTCCAGACACAGGTTATGATAATGAGAATATTCAGCTCAAATATATATCTAAAAAAGTAACCAGCAAAATTGTCTTTTGTCTGTTCTGTTCAGTGAACAGTGACATTAGTGCAGTCTAAACACGCTCTCACTAAATGCCATACTAGAGGCTTATCCACCTCCATCTAAGGTCATTTTGCCTTTGTGTTTATATCATCCTGTGAGTCACTGCAAACATACCATTTACAACAACCCTGGATCTGCCAATCAGGGCCAGCCAGACTTAAAAGCAGCCAATACAGATAAGAGCAGCCGTATTAATACCTCCCTTATGGTATAATGGGAAGATTGGCTATTTTGCTCTCTGGATCCTGCGGTAGGCTGTGAGAACCAGGGGGAGATAATCCCTCCGAAATACTCTCAGCATGAGAAATCCGACACACACAAATACAAAGATTCACAGATGTAGCCAATACAAACTACACACAATATCTTTAATGTAGTATGCCTTTGTTAACCCAAACAGCAAGGAATAACAGCGGGATACTACAGCAGAGATAACAAACTGGAATTGGATTGCTTTTGATTCACCGTGACCTCTAAAGTTCAATAAGAGCATCAATGAAAACAAAATGCACAGGGAAAATACAACAGTCAAAAAAAAGGCAAAAATTGATTTTCCAATAGCTGCAAAAAGTAAACAAAGTAAACAAAAAGTAAACAGTCACATAAACAATTTAAATATGAATTCATAAATACACAGTATATATATATATATATATATATATATATATATATAAAATTTTGTTATATAAATATTTAGAATAACAAAATACTGTCAAGCTTTACAAAGAATTACAGACAAAGTAAACAAAAAGTAAACAGTCACATAAACAATTTAAATATGAATTCATAAATACACAGTATATATATATATATATATATATATATAAAATTTTGTTATATAAATATTTTGAATAACAAAATACTGTCAAGCTTTACAAAGAATTACATATTATATGTTATTTATGCAGCTAAAAAAACTATATAAAACACTGTAAGTCATGTGACAAGCTTTTCCAGATGAATACATGTACATTTGGTGTAGCAAAAGCCAATATTCTAATATTAAAGTCTCCATCTATTAGAATTACTGATTGTATGTGTGCAGTAGATAAAAACTTTAGATAAAGACTTTAGGTCATGTCTTTCAGCTTGTGGTGGTAAAGCATACCGGTTAATCATTTGGAAAATTAAACCACAAGGTTGTAGGTATGAATGCCACTGTGACCTTCAGAAATACATTAAACACCTCTTATGTCACTCCTTCCTAAAATACAAAAGGCAGCTATATATTTTTGATGTATAAAGATCCAATTTATACTGTGGAAAAAAACAAATTTGAGCAATTAGAGGCAGAACAAAACTTTCTTTTATTTGATATTATTATTGTTGTTTTCGTTAATATTATTATATCCTTTTGTATTCTTTAAGGTTGTCTTTTATGTAGACCCCCTAGTACTTTCCTGGAGCACAGTTTGAAAACCCTTCGCTAAACGACAAAAATCTGTTAGACTTTTACAATACCTTTGCTTTGCCGGTGCTCTGTAAGATGTGCACCAGAGCGCGGGCCATCTCCTCTTTGTTCTTGACGCTGATGACCGGCTCCAGCACAGAGCAGAGCAGCATGTAGTTGTTGGTGGTGTACTCGGCAAACTCTTTATAGAGCTCCATGGGCAGGATGTTCATGCTCTGGTACCGGGCCTTGATGCGGACCATGGGTCCAGCCGTTTTCCCTTTCCCTGGATTGGGTTGGCTAACTGGGTACCATTTCTCGACCAGCTGCCTGCTCATGACATTCACCACTGGAATGCTCACCAGCCCCACGTAGTTGTTCTTGTCCTTTTTCTTCTTCTTGTCCGAATCCCTATAGAGATGGACGGTGATGTTCTGGACCGTAGGGAGGTTACTGAACTCAAAGTGTTCACCCCAGAAGACGTTATCTGTCTTCAGCTTGCAGGTTGTGCGGGCATAGAGGCCGTCGTCCAAGCAGAGCTCACAGAAGTACTTTTTCTTGGCCGGAAGGTCCTTAGCTTCGATGATCCACAGCTGGAGCGTATTCTCCACCCGCCGACTGTTGTCCTAGAGACGGAAGGGCATTGTGAGGTCAGTGGACTGTTAGGCTGTCATGTCACGGCTGTAATGAATTATTTGCGCATCAGTGTGGCATCTAACAGGGTCAGTGATTTAGAGATGACGTGATTAAATACCCTCTGCTTCAGATCACCCACCCTTGGCTTGAAATTAAAAGGCCCTTAATTTTAGATCACTTCATGTCCTTCCCATAAAGATAGCAGGACGGTGCTGTAAATACTGCGTGACATCATTCAGCAGTTAATGTCATTCACTGGCCTTTTTTTAATAGAATAGTCTTTCCAGTGTGAAGTCATGTGGTTTAATATACGAGGGACGGCCATAAAGTTGACCTGCATCATGCTGCAGTTAAGGTTAAGCTTTCGTTGGACTATAATAGAGGTTAATTTATAGATATCCCTCCTTCCTCTTATAACTTAGGAGGCAATGGAGGATGAGATCAGAATAAACTAAATGTCAGTTATTTCTGAGGCCACAGACCATCGTGAATCACTGAACTGAACAGACTAAAGCCCTCGCTCAACAGCGGTATACAACAATTCTTGTCCCTCCACACTGCCCCACCCACAATTAGTGATGTCATGCAGAAGCATCTGTATTATTACCAGTTTTATTTTCATTAATCATGCAGCCCTAGGCTGTATAATAGGGGTGTAACAGTTAAAGTGACTCACGATTCGGTTTGTATCACAGTTCTAGAGTCACGGATTCGGTATGGTTCGGTATGTGCTAAGTTTAGGGAAGAAACTATACTGGCAAATAAAAATAAAGAAAATAAGAACAAATAATCTAACTACAAACATCAGCACAAATAAATAAAATAGAGCAAAGATACAGATAAAATAAACAGTGCTATTCAGGTTTTTAGGTCTAACATTAGCTTTTAGGTACAGAAATTGAATAAAGTAATCAAATGTATAAAGTAATCACATTGCGTATTTGACTGTATAAATTAAATATTCATCCTTATTAAAGTTACATAAGCTATTAAATAAAGAGCAGCGAGTGATTTCCTTGTTTTTGTTGTTTGATTAACATTAAAAAAGTGCTGTCACTTTAAGACAATGCATGGATACATTACACTGATCCTCTAGGTTCAACTTATAGTACCAAGATGGACATTTTGACATAATTTTTGTATGAATTTGTCTATTTGAGCACAAGACTTGTAAGATAACTCATGTCTTCTGGCTCTGAATGTTTAAAATGGCAAGGCTTAAATGAGTTTAGTTTAAACACAGATAGAAATGTGCTGTTCAGTTCTCCTCTGCACACACGTGCTATCAACACCCAGGTGATGACGGCATAAATGACTGGTCATATTCAAGCATACGGCACTTGCATTGAACAAATGCATTTTTTTGTAATGTATAGTGAATACAACAGAAATGTGTATTAGCTGAACTCAGTCTGTTTTACATGTTAATATTTTTAGATGCATTGTCAGATTTAAGTTGCGGTGTCAGATTTAAGAGCGCGGTGCAAGTACGTGCCGAACCGTGGGTGGAGAACGGTAGGGTTCGTTTTTTACCTAGAACCGTTACACCCCAACTGTACAAAGATTCTTGAATAATAAGTACATAATGAATAGTAATACAGCTTCCATTTTTGAGTGAACTATGCCTTTAAGGCTTGACGGATGAATTGCTCTACAACAGCAGATGACTATACTAAAGGCACTGGGCATTGTGTAGGGCTTTAGTGCTCATGGATATTCCCACACAAATAAACACCCACTAAGGCAATTGATTTTGCATCTCGGTATTGAGGTGCTCCATTGTGCGCCCTCATCACAGATAATGAACTAATTAGGCAGACAGAAATGGGCCTCTGCCGCAGCAGCTAATGCCTGAGCTATGATCATCTCCACACTACTACAGCATCAACATCTGTCTGAAAGCATCATCTGTTCACAGCAAAGCTCTGTAAAGCCTGGCTCTGATGTTCACCTCAGAAACCCACTGAGTAATTAAAATGTAAGACTGAGCGATGGGGAGACATTAAACACATCCCCAGGCAAGCTATGAAGAAGGCAAATATAACTTGAAGGTTGTGCTTGAATTTTTGTTCCAATCTAATTAACTATTAATTTGCTTAATCATTGATTGAGATCTCATCCGACAGCTCATTTCACCAAAGCAGCCATATGTTTTGCTTTCCTGCGTCTCATGTGCTTATATCAAAAAGCGATGGAAAAAACTGCCCTGAATTTCATCATTCTTACAGATGCAGAAACATTATTTGATGTCTCTTTTTTATTTGCATTGAGTCGCATTTCTTCAGTAATAAATCAGAGCATCAAGTATGATTTTAGCCTATGCAGGAATAATAGCAACTCTGCAGAAAGGCGAGTTTACCTTATTAGGGTGGATGGCTCGTCGCAGGTTCTCCATCCATTTGTCTCTCTCTGCGGCCGAACGACAGGAAAAGCACTTACTACCTGTGGAGGTGCTCACCTGGGAAAAAAGGTTGATAATTGTCAGCTTGCTGCAACAATCTCACGGCTTCCAGCTCACTTACATCAAAAGCAAACCTGTGCCACGTTTTAATGTCCTTTGAAAATATGTTACAAAATGCAAAACTGAATCACATTTACTGACAGATATTTTGGGTACAAATACAGCATTTAAAAAAACATGTTCAGAAATCTGCATATAGACAATCACACATGTTCTGACCATGAATCACAAGCTATAAAAGAAGCTATAAAAAAGAGAATCAAAATTGAACCAAACTGAATCAATTCTGATTTCCCAGGTTTGATTAAACTCCTTAATTTGATTTGATTCTGAATTTGATCATATTCTGGTTTAATCCACAAGCTCTTGAATTGATATGATTCTGAATTTGATTAAATTCGGGCTTAATCCATAATCTCTTGATTTGATTCTGGTTTTAATTAAATTTTAAATAATTTGTATATATTTCAGTTATAATAGCCATTTTGTACACAATTCATTCTCGCTTTTTTTGAAAAATTGTTCTCTACTGTAACGTTTATTATTATTTATTAGCTCTAAAAAGGGGAATATTTATGACGAATTATAACTGGTTATGATTCATAATAAATATTTAGATTATATCTTCGAATTAACTGTAGCAGAATCAATATTACGTGTGTGTGTGTGTGTGTTCGTTTGGCCATCTACAGCTTTTTGTGGAATGTGTTTGAAATCAGATTGCAGGATGCTCGTGGGGCTGGTTCTAATCTTACTTGACGGCGAAGAACCATTTGGCAATTTACAACCCCTATACAACGTAACATCTCTGACCAGAACTGTAATTTATATGCAAATGTCAAAAGGCTAAAAGGGGTCTTTTAAGCCATAAACAGTCCAACTATCATGCATGATCCTACGCAGACGCTACACTACTAAAATTCAAATTATTAATTCAAAATCGAAACTGGGATTTAAAAAAATCGATTTTGGGACTGTTCAATTAAGATCACGATTAAATGGAAATCTATATAATCAGACAAACTGCTTTTTGCTGGAAACTTGCCTGGTTAAAACCACTGTCTTATGAATGATGATATACTGTAATATTAAATATAAATGAACATGTACCTAGGGTTGAGAGAGATCAGATCAATGAACTTATTAATGTAAATAATGTAAAACACGTGAAAGAGGTGTCTATACCTCAAAGCAGTAATCTTGCCCGAGGATGGAGCTGTGCACTGGTTTAATAAGGACCTCCTCCTCCATGCTGAGGTCCAGAGCTTCTACTGCACTGCTGGGACTGAGCAAAGACTCGTGAGAGCGCGACTCCTTCAGCCTGGGCATCAGATGAGACCTGAGACAGGAACACAAACCAACCAGTTGACACAAGTGTCTCTCGTGTACACACACACTTTCAATACACACATAATCGTTTATCTTGAAAACAAGACAAGATAACCGAATGGGTTTATTTATGGCAACCACAAAGCAAGTGTTATCACTGCCTAAATTGCAGGTGTAATATGAGGACACGTGTTCTGGTCCTATTCACAGACAGTGTGCTGAGACAACAGACTCCGTAGGCAGCCTTAAAGAGGTTTACAGGACACAGCGGTTTCGAGGATCAAAGAATAATAGATGTTTGAACCTCAACAACATAGTTTGAGTCTGCAAAGTGTGAAGACAGCAGCAATAATATAGCAATAATAGAGGTCATACAGCAAATTTTCTATAATATTACTCCTAATTCAGTGGAAATAAACTTAATTTCAGATCATTGCAATTTAAACTTAAAACTTAAGAAAATAAATTACAGTAAACAAGTCTTAAAAGGGCCGAACTGGGTCAGAAAAAAATGTCCTCAAAATATTCTGTATGATATGAGACATACATATTGCATAAATGCATTAATTACTCATTAAGGCATGTGAATGAACACAGGCTTGCTGTTCAGCATGTGTTGTTTGAGCAAAGTGTTTATGTGATCTGATCACTACAGGTGTCATTAACTGAGCTGTCGGTTAATGTTAGTGCGCACAGAAATTGATTAGTGCTCTGACAAAATAATTAGTACCTTCTTCAAACTGTTAATTATCTCTTAATAATCTAAAATAGAGTTTACAAAATCTCTGCCATACATTTCAATATCTGTTAACTTGCTAAGAAAAATAGTCAGAAAGGTACCAGATCATAGAGGAAGTTATGTGTGCTTGCATGCATATGTGAAGAATGAAGCCATTTAAGATGCCAATACCACTTGTGTCACATCAATTCAACACGTTCCGCATCCATAATAAACAGTGATGGGAGATAGCAAGCATATCATTAGAAAATCCAACATGTTTACAGCTGTAATTAGAGTGGGAGATCTCATCTAAGATGAAGCCTGTGTTGGTCTGAACTGACGTTAATTAGTGTTTGCTACAAAGCAGATCTGATCTGGGAACAGTTCCACTACTCATTCCTTCATGTCAGCTGGACAGAGACGTGCACAGAACACTCTTCATCTTCTGATCTCCAAGGAATACATCACATAAAAATGAAAACTCTGTCATTATTTACACACCCCAATGTTGTTTTGCAGCATACCCCCTAAAAATTGGGTTGCTGTGCATCTGGCTGTGATGAAGGTTTAGTACAGTAGGTTAGGTAAGGCATTAGAATACAGATTAAAACGGCTTCAGTTCTATCATGACAACTCTTGGAAGATTTTAGCATGGTAATGGATCTGGTCTTGGAGGAATAGATCAGCTACGCTGCTGCTGCTGAATTGCTGCTGCTGTTGGTTACTGCTGTAGTTGTAGATGATTGCTGCTGCTGCCGCTGCAAGCAAGTACAGGAACTTGCTACTGCCAATGCATATGGCGATACATGCTGTGAGTATTTAATACATACAGCTGCTGCAAAAATAGCATATAAAATAACCTGAAGCAGATCTATACAGGTGGAGCTGGGGAAGGAGGAGGGTTTCAGAGGAACTCTGAAAGCACACTGCAAAATGCTTAAGTGGATGCTAACCAGCCATTTAAATGTAAAGCAGCAAGCTTATTGGCTGCGCATGCAACATGAACCAATCAGCTTGTGCCAAGTCATTTAACGCTGTGAATATCATCAGTTAAGTTAAGAACCCATCAGCCTGCGCCATCTAGTGTTTCATAAAAGAATTAGGCATTTATATAAACTAGGATGTTTTCTAGTTGTATTTAGTATAAATTTGTTACAACTGGAGCTCAACAACCAATATTTTTTTTGTATAATACTTACTTTTTAGTGTACATTATTCATATAAATTATATTATTTATATATTTAATTATATTTCTGTCATGGCAACTCTCAGAAAGTTTAGCATGGTAATATACATGGCAATGTTAACGTGTTTGGTCTTGATAGAATAGATATGCCATACTGCTGATGCATTTGCTGAGACTTGTTACTGCCAATACATCCACAAACCTGCTGCTGTGATCATGCAAGAAATACTGCTGCTGCACATATAACATGAAATAACCCTCATGTATAACATACATTAAATTACACCGCAGCAGATCTATACAGGTGGAGCTGGGGAAGGTGAAGGGTATATATATCCGTTGTGAATATGTATCTTTAATTACACATTGTCGTATTAACAACTAGTGAACAAACAGACTGAAGTGAACTGAATTTGTTTAGAAACCATTTTTAAAAAGAAAAGAATTTGAAGATTAAAGACTGAAATACTTTTTCCTCCCTAAAACGTACTTTGTTTTATTTACAATTTCAAATAATAAAAAAAAAAATTACAGTGTGGTTCCGTAAAGGAGTCAGTTGTGAACTCTCTAAACAGTTCACTAAGTGAATCTGATTCAAACAGCTAATACGAGGAAGTTTGAGGCTGTTTTATGATTTTGTCTGACTCATTTAAAATTACCGGTTCAGTCATTAAATCAGACATCACAGCTCACTAATGTTGTTGTGTGCAGAAAAAACTGGCATGCGTGCCATACTTCCATACTCCTTTTGTATATAAAAAAAAAAGCAGCTCGGTCATTCTGCTTAACAACTAATTTGGTGTTACATAGAAAAGAGAAAGAAACAGAGAACTGGAATGACATGGGGGTGAATAAATGACAAATGTTTGGGTGAACTCTCCATTTTAATCAGTTTAGTAATTAATTAACACACAAGGTCAATTTTTGACCTCTTGTTAAATGTGATGCTGGTGATGCTTTCTTGACATAAAACCACATTTACCCCCACACAAAGAGACAATTAAATCTACTAGGAAGCGACCCACATCTCTCTCCATAAACAATCATCATCAACACTTTGTTGCTGTGTGTATCTCATAAATTATTTACTATTCTCTATTACCCTGAACTCTTTATTTACCTCCCCCTTCCCCCTCTCCTTTGTTTTCCTTTCCTTGCACTCTCCTTCTTTCTCTCCTCCACAAAGATCTTCAGAGGTAAGACTACTCCTGAGACCAGCCTTGTCTCCTAACCACCGAGGCTTCAGAGAGCAAAACGTGTGTGTGTGTGTGTGTGTGTGTGTGTGTGTGTGTGTGTACAAACTGGTTTATTTCTGATTGGCTGAGGTGAAACGAAGCAGAGGGCTCTGAGAGTAATTGGAGCAGAGGGGATTGTGGGATTGATCCATTCTTGAAGCAGCGTTAGGAAAGACAGAGCTAGCAGTCCAAACGACAGGTTGATTTCCAGAACGAGAAGAAACCAACGTCAGTTTTCCTGACTGGGAAACATTGATGGGATGACACTGACAGGAAGTATTGGGAATAGCTGTCAAAAACCAGCTTGATCAAAAGGATGGTATAAGAGAGAGAAGGAAAAATCTAAAGAAACAGTGTGTGTTGGGGGTTCCTCTGAACTGTCGTCAATCACTTAGTTACTGGATATGAAACTTTCAGCATCAAAAGAATGTTCTCTAAAGATGAACTTTTTGCTTTGAATGAAACAGACAGTTTCCTTCAGTAGGACTTAACATTAGCTCTTCAAGACTGCATTGTGAGAGAAAAAGGGATCAGGAGTGAAAATACCTCAGAAGCTCGTTTTTGGTCAGCAAGTTTGTAAAGGGATCAAGTGCCAATGAACCAGAGAACAGTTCAGCACTTTCCATGGGCTCATATAAAGCTTATCTTTTGTTTTGAAGATAAAAAATCTCTCATCATTCATAACTTTCTATGCAACACAAGACAATAACTCAGACAATAACTTTTTATTTCGATTAATCTATCGACTAATTTATCGATTAATCTAAACGATTAATTTCCCACAAAAAAAAATCAACAATTTTACTTAAGAATATTTTCATTAAACCTAATGAAGTCCTTTTTTTAAAGCAAAAGTAAAGTGCAACATAGAGTGCAAAAAGCAAGTGTCCATCTCATAGTCCAAATCACTGAAATCTAAGTTCAGTATTATAGTGTAAGAATGACAACATATCCACGTGTTCAAAAAAAAAGAAGATTTTTTTTATAAAATCAATTAATTGGAGATGCTTTTGATTATTAAAATTTAATGGAACCATTAAAATGGAAGATAAAACTGTAAAACTCAATTAATTAGACAGGCTTTTTGATTAATAAAATTTAATTTAAGCATTAAAACAGAGTATAGAAAAAAAAATGAATTTGGAAATAAAACAGAATTCATAGGGCCCTATAATTATAATACATTTTTTTGTGGTAATAAAAATAGATGTAAGTGAACAATAGCCTTTAAAATTAGTTAAAATACATATATAATAGCAATGAGGCAATGATAATTAGTTCAAATAAAGCATCAAAAGCAAGAAATCACATGGTTTTATTGAACAAAACTGTTAAAATACAATGTATTACAACTAGAGCTAATTTACATTACGCATTACAATAAAGGCATGCAGAGGGCGCCAACGGCCTGATGATTATTTTTACACATTACTGTGCGATCTAATCCTTGTTTAATATTGACCAAGCACCATTTCATTCAAATGTCCACTTAATCTTTAATATTTGGCCATTTCTTTAGGACAGAAATGCTATAGCCACTGCAATTAAATGAATATGTGGACATCAAAATGTGTAAACTCAGAGTGAGGGTTTGAGCTTTTATTTTGAAACCGCGATGTATTCTCCTGTGTTTACGTAGATTTATAAATGATTTACCTAACAAATCTGATGAAATGGCGCACGTTGCGTTCCCAGATGAACATTATAATAAACCCAAACTCACAACAACATGCAGAGATAGAGTTTGAGATGCTCCACACATGTAAATGATAACAGTTCCTGTAGAACTACTGTGAACGGAGCCGCTGTGTGACGCATGTACTTAACCTACACACAGCTAAATAATTAAAGTGCCTATACTGTATTA